AGAAAGAAAGAAAGAAAGAAAGAAAGAAAGAAAGAAAGAAAGAAAGAAAGGAGAAAAAGCACAACACATAGACACAAATGTACAAAGCAGAACTCATAAACACAAAATCAAAAACCAAAATATACACTCAAAAGACCAATAAGACCAAAAAATGCCCAAACACAGCAATATGAGACAAGTCTCAGAAATCCCATTGAGTTCGTTTTGTGGAGGCCATCTGCTGGGTGTGGGGCCTGCCCAAGGGTGGTTAATATGCCCAATGAGACACCACTGGAGAAGACTATGGGTGCTTCTTAGTTAGGGTCGGAAGCTTATGGCTCATGTCCACCTCCACCTCTCAGCACTGGGGCCCTGCCTGGTTTGAACTGGTGCAGGCCCTGTGTCTACTACCACAGTCTGTAAGATGCATGTGTCAGTCTTATGTTAGAAAAACATTGTTTCCTTGGTGTCATTTATCCCTTCTGGCTCTCAGTCTCTCTGCCTCCTCTTCTGCATACCCGATGAGCCATTTAGTATAGAGTGTTTCAAAATTTCTCACAGTGCACATTATCTACTTGTGGGTCTGGATCTCTAAAATAAGTCCCCTCTACAGCAAGAAGAAGCTTCTTTGATTATGAGTGGGGCAAGGTACTGATCTATACATATAGCAAAATGTCATTAGGAATCAATTTATTATTGCATTTAGCAGAACAGTAGTATTTGGTTTTCCTTTTGGCCTAATGGCCTGTCTGTTTTCAGGATCTTGGCCACTGAAACAATGTCCAGCACAGGTTCCATCTCATAGAGTGGGCCTTAAATCCAGTTAGATAGTAGTTGGTTACTCTCATGTTTGTGCCACCGTTGCAACAGTGTATCTTGTAGGTAAGGCAACCAACATAGATAGCAGGGTTTGTAGCTGGACCTTTCTCTGGGAGCATACACAGTACCTTCCAGTACCATGAACACTAATCAGGAGGGGTGAAGTCTTTAGTTAGACATCAGCTTGACTTCTCCATGTTCAATAAGGTATGTAAGTATTCAGCAAGAGAGCCTTACTGTCAGTCTGTAGAGAGCAACCAATAAATAGCCTGGCAGTAGCCTGAATTGTTTGAGAGTCTCTGTCTTAGTTACTGTTTGTTCTGTTTTGGGAAAAAGCATCATGTCCAAAGTAACTTATTAAAGAAAGCTATTTAATTGAGAGCTTTCTTACAGTTTCAGAGGATTAGTCCATAATATCATGGCAGGGAGCATAGTGGCTAGCAGGCAGGCAGGCAGGCATCTTGCTGGAATAGTAGCTAGCTGAGAACTTAAATTCTAATCCAAGGAGGCAGCAGAGCGAGAGTTTGGGTCTGGTGTTGGATTTTTGAAGTGTCAAAGCACACCCCTGGTAACCAGTGACACATCTACTCTATAAGGCCATACTCCTAAATCCTTCCTAAACAATCCACCAACTGGGAATCAAACATCGAAACATATGTGTCTTTGGGGGCCATTTTTATTTAAACCATTACAGTTTCCATGGGGCCTCTTTGGCCAATGACTCAAGTAGATTTAACCTATTCCTAGAGGTTTCACTTAGTGGCAAGAGACCTGTAGTTGGGACTCTGGTCTTTCTTATTGTTTGGTGATTCCATTTAGAGTTCTTTCAAATATGTATATATTGTAAGAAGCTTCTACAGTAGTGGGTTTCCAGATGACCACTCAAATGGCACTTAATGTTAGTTGTCTGTTCCTCCCAATATTCCCTTCTTCATCCTCCCCTTTACTCCACATCTAATCCTCTCCCTGCAGCCACTCCCATGTCTCCCCATAAGTCTTCATTCTGTCTCTCCTTCTTTGGAAACTGACTCAAAAGAATGTGTGGGGATGTGCTAGAAGGAAGAGCTAAGAGGGCCCATGCATCAGGATTTGGTGGAGTCCCTAGGAAATAGAGGTAGTGTGTGGGGAGAGGCATCTGCAAGGCTGCTACAGGACTGGAGGCGAGGCTGGAGAGGGTGGAATTAAGGTCAGATTGAAATGGTTCTTAAATAATGTTTGATGTTGGAAATGAAACCAGGAGCTTTATGCATATGCAGCATCTATGCTTCCATTGAACTATGCCTGTTTTAAGTTTTTTCGTTTTGAAAATAAAATAGAATTTATCAGGGTTCCAAACATGTTCCATTGAGTTTGCTTCCAATGTGTTATTTCTTTTCTTTTTTGTTTTTTATTTTTTTGTTTTTTCGAGACAGGGTTTCTCTGTGTAGCCCTGGCTGTCCTGGAACTCACTCTGTAGACCAGGCTGGCCTCGAACTCAGAAATCCGCCTGTCTCTGCCTCCCAAGTGCTGGGATTATAGGCGTGCACCACCACTGCCCGGCGACAGTTAACATTTTAATGCCATTTTAATTCTATTTTTAATACCTTAACCCTGTTACTGATATTTAGAACATATTTCAAATTGTACTTGACAGTAGTCTGTAATGTTTTGGGGTAGGGATATATAAGACCCCACTGTCCAACAACTCAAAAAGCTGTTAATTCATGCCTGGCACTTGTAGCATCTAATGACTTAGGGTGGCATTGTCATCTCCCCCATCCCATTGTAAGGTAATGCCATTGAAACTCTTTTTTTTTTGGGGGGGGGGGTTTCGAGACAGGGTTTCTCTGTGTAGTCCTGGCTGTCCTGGAACTCACTCTGTAGACCAGGCTGGCCTCGAACTCAGAAATCTGCCTGCCTCTGCCTCCCAAGTGCTGGGATTAAAGGCATGCGCCACCACCGCCTGACTTCTTTTTTTTTGGGAGGGGGAACTCTTTATATCTGAATATAAATAAATAAGTTTTAGGAAGTTTCTGCAGTAGTAGAAACCATGGCCTTTCACCATGGTCCTTATGTTACCTGACCCCATCCCTTCCTTCCCATCCCCACACCATTTAACCCGTCCTCCATTTATTCCCTTCCCCCATTCATAGCATCTATGTCTGTCCCACTTTGCTGAACCACCCCTTCCCATGTCTTCTTACTAGTGTTCTGCCATCTGAGGTTATTCCAGTTTAAATGCACATATTTAAAGATTCAAGGCCAACATCACAAATGGGAGAGAACATGAAATACTTGTCTATCAGGGTCTGACCTCACTCAGAATTATTTCTTCCAGCTTCTTCTATGTACCTGTGGATTTCATATTTTCATTTTTAAGTAGCTTAATAATATTACATTGTGTATATGAACCACACTCATTATTCATTCATCGTTAATGGACATCTAGGTTCTTTTTGTTGCTTTTGTGAGTGAAGCAACAATGAACATGGATCAACAGGTTTCTCTGTAGTATGATCCAGAGAGTCCTTTGGGAGGATTATTACTGGATCATGTGCTAAATCTGTTTCTAGCCTGTTGAGGAACCTCCAACATTGATTTGCATTGTGGCTTCAGTTTGCTCTTCCATTAGCAGGGCATAACTGCTTCTCTTTCCCACATCCATTTGCATTTCCGATCTTAGTGATCCCATGACTGGGCCAAAATTAAATTTCAAAATCATTTTAATTTGCATTTCACCAATAGCTAAAGGTGTTGAACATTTTATTTATTTATTTATTTATTTATTTATTTTGGCTTTTCGAGACAAGAGTTTCTCTGTGTAGTCCTGGCTGTCCTGTAACTCACTCTGTAGACCAGGCTGGCCTCGAACTCAGAAATCCGCCTGCCTCTGCCTCCCAAGTGCTGTGATTAAGGGCATGCACCACCACCGCCCAGCTGAACATTTTAAAGAATACTTATTGGCTATTGATATTTACTTTGAGAATTCAATATTTAGTTCTGTCCCACAGTTTTTAGTTTAGGTTGATTGTTTTAATGCTTAGTTCTTACATATTCTAGTTCCTAACCCTCTGTTAGATTTGTAGCTGATGAAGACTTTTTTCCACGCTATAGGTTGCCTCTTCACTTGAATTATTGTGTCCTTACTGTGTACAAGCTTTTTAGTGTCGTGAGGTCCAACTTCTCAAGTGTTGGTCTTAGTATTGGTTCTAGGATCTTTTTGAGAAAGTCCTTTCCATGTTATAAGTACATTCCTTACTTCCTCTCCTGACAGGTCTATGTTTACATCTTTGAACCATTTGGAGTTGAGTTTTGTGCAGGATGAAAAATAAGAATCTAGTTTTACTACCAATAGATTGGTTTTGGTAGGGTGGCCATTTTCACAGTATTATTATAGGTCCATCAATATAGGTGATCTTCCTGTCTTTGGTATCTTCTTCAGTTTCCTAAAGTTTTCATTGTACAAATTTTTTACTTCCTTGATTAAATTAATACAAAGAGTGTTATTTATTGTTATTTATTGTTATTTTGAGGCAACTGTAAGTGGGGTTGTTTCTCCTGTCTTCTCAGTATGATTCTTACTCATCTGGAGGAAGGGTACTGATTTGTGTGTGTTAAATTTGTATCCTGCTTCTTGCTGAATCTGTTCATCAGCTGTTGGAATTTCCTGGTAGGGTCCTTATGTGTATAGAATCATATCATCAATAACAATATTTTGGCTTTGTCCTTTCCTGCTGATACTATTGTCACTTTAACTTGTTCTCAGCTTGAGAATGCGCTGTGGGCTAATCAGGAAGTAATTCATATCACCTTCCTTTAGATCACAGACTGAGAGGAGAGCCAATTGTGCTGTAGTTTTCTTGATTTCTAGTGAAAATCCTGTTTTTAAATCGTTCTTACCTGGTGCTTTACTTGTTCTTTAAAATACTCATTGCTGCCAGGGAGTGGTGGCGCACCCCTTTAATCCCAGCACTTGGGAGGCAGAGGCAGGCAGATTTCTGAGTTCCAGGACAGCCTGATCTACAGAGTGAGTTCCAGGACAGCCAGGGCTACACAGAGAAACCCTGTCTCGAAAAAACAAAAACAAAAACAAAACAAACAAACAAAAAACCTTATTGTTAAATTGTTAATAATAATGACATGATGTTATTATCTCATAGGCGTGAATGTCACGGATCATGATGTGATATTCAGAAGTCTAACAGAGACCCTTCAGAATAATGTCACACCATATGTAGTCTCACTGCAAGCTAAGGATTGTCCAGGTAAAGTAGAAATGCTCACCTCTGACCCCTTCCCCCACACTCTATGTGTGTTTCACTCATTTTTGCTCATTCTAAATCAATTTTTTTCTCACTTGAAAAGGCCATTGATGGTTAAAAAATAAGTAGTCCCTATGCAGAGCCAGACTTGAGCGTATAAAATGGTTAAATCATGAAGCGCACACAGTCTCAGACTCAGACTTGTTTGCATGTAAAGCCGTCATATTATAAGCTGTGCACACTGTCATACTCACATTTGTTGCCAGCTGGACTGATAATAGAGTTAATGTACTGCTTTTGTTGTGATGAATTACAATTAATATCTCAAAGATGTCTTTTAAAAATGATTGCAAATGAAGATTTATAATCAGTAACATAATTCATATAATCAGTAAAATATTTCATATAGCTTCTGTTTTTAAGGACCATGACATTCTTTTGTTCTTTAAAATAATGTAAATGCATGAAATTCCAAAAATAATTTATAATTTTCTGTCTATGTACTTAGATATTACTTGTTGATAATATACATACATTTTGATCTGATCTTAGTAAACTAGTGAAATATACTCATTTATTACATCTTATTTAGGAAGGATCTTATACAGCCTAGGCAGACATTGAGTATACCATGTAGCAGAAGATGACCTTGAACTTCAGGCCCTCCTGTCGTCAGAGATTTTAGGCATGGTTGACCATATTTGTGTTTATTTAGTACTAGGTGTCAACTTTATGACTTTGTGCATGCTAGGCAAGTACACTATCAATTGAATGTGTCCAACCCTAACAAAAGTCAATATTAAGGACAGGGTACTAATGAGTAATCGTAGTATACTTAGCATATTTCTAACTATATTGATGAAACATAGAAAAATATACTCCATGTAAGTATTGCAATCTACTGATCAAAGGTTTCAGTGGTTTTAATTTTGTTTTAAAGATGAGGTAAGTTTCCTTGCTTTTTATATTCTGCAGATGTGAAACATTTTTTACAAAAGTTGACCTCACAGTTGATGGACTGCTGTGTAGATAGAAATTCCAAGGAGGTGAAAAGTGATAAGACCGCCCAAAAGACAAATTATTCAATGGATTCCCTTTCTAGTTGGTATTCAACAGTCACACAGGTAAAATGAAACTGAATATTTGGTTAGTTGGCTCAGAATACTTTACATATATCACTCTTCTAATAAGCATGTATTTGTGAAGCAATAATAGCAGTTTGACGGTAGCTATTTTTCCTGAAGCTACTAGAATTTGAAAGTATTCTAATATGTAAACTAAGTCCTAGTAAGTGCTTGGATTCTTACGAGGACATTGTATTTGTGGGAGAATTCTATGTAATGACAAAAAGAAAACATCTGCAGTTGGTTCTGTTGCAGATTGTATTTTGGTAATAATGGCTGTAACTTCCTTACATTACCTCTGGTAGTCTTTAGTATTTGCTTTTGTTCAGTAGACACATAACACTTATTCCTGCTATCAGCTTATTCCTTTAGTAATTTTATAATTTTTAAAATTTAGTTTGATCCATGCTTAGAAATCTTGAGGTCTATTGAACAAAACAGCACTCTATAAGTAAAGTATAATTTAAGAAAATATAAATTTCCTTCTACTATGACCATCTCTATTACAAATGAATGACACAGAGATCCCTGGACTCCTGGGGTACAGTCATAGTCCCAGTTTATTGCTGGGTTACCATATAGCACAAGTACTGGGTGACATCTTCTATTCAGTGTTTTCGTTGAAATCATACATGTGATTTTACCTTGCTTTATGTAAGGATTCTTATAATAATACCTTAGTTTGATGTAAATGTTTAGATTGTTTTAGAAATCAAAGTCTTTGCAATTTAAGTCCATTATCTTTAAGTTTGGTTTGACCAAATATTTAACATCTATTTCAAGATGAAAAGTTTGTTATAGTACATTCTGTGTGCTTTTACATCGACAATACAACTTATGTTAGTGCATAAATGTGTATCAACAGAAAAAACGTCAGTTATATAGAAAAGTGTCTTTTTCCTATGTTTTTCAGTAGAAAATCCATTTGGTATTTGTTATAGGTCCTTCTAAACCTTTTTCTTACTGTTAACCATATCTAGAAACAGATTTTGCTAAGTAACTGTTAGAATGAGATACTATTTTTAGTTGGGAAAAATAGCAGTTACTGTAAAATATAAAGAAATACATAGTAAATGGCATTGTAGTATTGTTTGACTGGTAAGGCTTACTTTTAATTCCTCCGTTTCACATTGGTTTAAAAGAAGACAGGCCCAAAACTGACAAGCAAAAAGAGGCCAGCGTCTAGCCACTGGCAGTCTCCTCCTGTGGTGCTTCTCTTAAAGAGCATGGAGAGCTTCAGCACAAGCGTACTCCAAGACTTCATAACCATCAGCAGGTAGTTCAACTGCTACAGTTTTGATGAGATTGTCTATCTTCTTTTTCATTTCATTTATTATTATTGTTGCTATGTAAATGCGATGTGTATGTGTAGAGGTTGAAGGTCAGCTTTGTAGAATGGGTTCTTTCCTCCAACCAAACTTAGGAGCAGACACCCATAAGGCATTTCATACATTTGGTATTGCTTGACCTTTCTCTTTCTCTTTCTCTCATCTCTCTATCTCCATCTCTGCTTAAACTCTTCATAACATGTGACTTTGCTTTTAGGCAAAATTACCTTTTTCTTAAGACATTACTTTTATTTTAGAAAAAAATAGTATTCATTTTAAGACCAACTTAATGAAATTCAAAATCATTTTTGTAACTGAATTTTCAAAGATCTCCCAGCAAATTATTTTCTTGTTTTTTGAAATAATGTTGAAAATCCAAGACAAGTTGATCCTGATTTAGTTAACATACATAACTCAGGTAAATAGGTGTAAAATGTCCTTTATCTTATAAGGATTGTCTCCTTACCTGACTGTTAAACTGATATTCCTCTAAGTTGTAGTATTCTGTCATGCCTTTTTTCTTTCTGATTTTTATCTTTAGAGGCTTTGTGTTCCTTATAGCTTTACTGGCTAAAAATGTTTTCTGTATGACGGTATCTTATTTTTATATAATACTTCCAGTGAGTATTATTTTAATGTAGAAGTTTTTTAAAGCAATCTTATAGACTTAAAGTTGAAGTAACTAGGCCTATGTTACATCTCTGTGACATTTGTTTTCAATGTATATTTGTTAGGGTATAGTTAATTTTCTTTTGCATATTCTATATATCAACTAACATACTAAACGTTCTTATCTTGAGTGGGGTTGTATGAGATTTTTACCCCATTGATTTATGAATTCTAGATAAATTCACCACTACCACCCATACCCCAGTGCTGGGGATAGAACCCAGGACTACATGAATGCCTGAGCAAATTCTCTGCCATTGAAGTGTATTCTCAGGATACAGTCCTAAGACTTTTGTGAACTTCTTACCATCCTGTGATAGTGTGCTGCACGGCATATATGTTATTTATTTAACTTAGATTTTGTAGTACTGTGGCCCTCAAAAGTAAAGAACTTAGAACAGCTCTAAGAGTGTATAGCACTTTATTTCTATGACAACAGAAAGAGCTTCATACAGCCAGTTCTGGAAAACAATAAGAAAATGGAGCAAGCAGGTAAAGTGATCAGCCGTGATACAGACAAGGACGTGTGACTTGCAGAAGCGCTCACAAATGATGCCATTCCATCGAGAAGTAGAAGCCGTTTGTTTCTGTTTGTTTCATGCTCAGTATGTTTAGGATAATAATGTAAGGAAGGAGTATAATGCTTTTGAGCAATGTTCATTAAAACGATGACTTACATATGTATAAAGATAAGTATGGGGCAGTGGTAGCTCACACTTTTAATCCCAGCGCTTGGGAGGCAGAGGCAGTCGGATTTGTGAGTTCGAGGACAGCCTGGTCTACAGAGTGAGTTCCAGGACAGCCAGAGCTACATAGAGAAACCCTGTCTCGAAAAAACAAACAAACAAACAAACAAAAGATAAGTGTGTGTGAAAAAGAAAGCAGAGATCTGGTGGGCAAACATAAGGAAGACTACCTGAGGCTGAAAGTCGGTGAGGTTATATTAAATGCTAGTTGACATGCTGTTGTCTAACGTTGGTAGTCTAATCTCAGGGAGCATTTGGTCTTTCTGGATCTCTGTTCTTATTTATAAAAGAAAAAGATCTGTAAATGGCTTGATTTCAGGATTAGAATCTAGAAAATGTTTATTATTATTTTTTATTTTTAAAAGGAAAATGAGTGACCTAGAAAACTTAATATCTTAAAATAAGTGTTTTGAATATAATATATTGAAATATATTTACTGAAGAAGCTTCTTTTGTATTTTTCTCTAAAAACTAGTCATCATCTGCACGAGTTTCCTCTCATTCTCATTTTTGGGATCGCCACATCTCCTGTTATTATCCACCGGCTGCTTCCTCATTCAGTGTCATCTCTGTTGTGTATAGAACTGTTCCAGTCTCTGTCTTGCAAGGAATACCTGACAGTAGTTCTTGATAAGGTAAAAAGAAAAAATGCTTACCAATGACAGAGAGTGAAACCAAAGCTACTAGACATATATTATGTATCATAAGTTATACCAATAAATTTCTGTGTATCTCAGACTTTAACAAACTTATTTGCATATTTAAAGCTCTTACTCAATTATGGTTAGAATTATATTTTCTCTTTGCATATAGTTGCCTTCTCAGATAAAAATAAGCTTTATGAAAGCAACACTCATTTGTATATGTTCATTTTTGTTTTTATTAGTTGAAGAAATTAGGCTTTTAAAATGAATTTAGGAGTGAAAGTACAGCTCACTAATAGAGCACTTGTCTGTAATGTAAAGGGAGGCCCTGGAAATTCCTTATTACTAATAAGCAATAAGGCACTGACAGTAATAAATAAAATTTCACAAAATTTACATACTTCAGAGTATTACCAGTATGTTTTGATCTTATATTTTATATAAAGTGATTTAAAGCTTTAAGGTTTATTTTGATTTGATATATATGAGTGTTTGTCCACATATATGTATGTGTACCAAATGCATGCAGTACCTGTGAGGTCAGAAGAGGGTGTTGGATCTCTAGAACTGGAGTTACGGATGGTTGTGAGCCATTGTATGGGTGCTGACAATGGAACCCCAGGCCTCTGGGAAAGCAGCCGGTGCTGTTAACTTCTGAGCCATCTCTCCAGCCCTAAGGGTTTTTGTGGACTTTGACAGCTGTCATGTTGCTCTTGACAGCAGCTACTAAGCTAAGAGTATAACTGCTATAATGTTTCTATGTAATAGCACCATGACTACTGAATGCCATGCAAAGTCATTCTCAGTTCCATTAAAATATGTTTATGATGGTTGTATAGCTTAACAGTGACAACTTGTGTGTTCACCTATGAACTACACATTGCTACACAACACATAGCAACCTGATTTACTGACATGTTAGGAGAACGGTTTTCATTTTGGAATTCATTGTAGTCAAATGCAGTTGTCCTTGTGCAACTATTCATTTGGTTAAAAAGAGTCCTAGTATAAGGTTTGATTTTCAGATGTAAAGCGTTACTGTAGACCATTGGACACTAACTAAATAATTTAAAATTTCTCTATATTTTCAAGAAGAAAAATCTTTATTTTGTGATTTTGTGTTATCATTTGATAGTACATAGCTTGCTACTCTTTACTAATTTGGATTAGTAGGGAGAAAAAGAAGTTTTATCTGGTAAGAAAATAGTTCGTTTTTTGGTATCTTCTAGTATAAGACAAAGAGTTATGTATTTAATATGTATTATTTGAAGATTAAGAATTTAATGGAAGTTGGTAGTCCACTTTGGTTCAGAGTGTAGTCTGAGGATGGGAGTGGTGGTACTTGAGAAAGGCAGGCAGATCTCTGATTTTTTATTTTTATTTTTCATTTTTAATTTTTGGTTAGATACCCAGTCAGAGATAACCAGTTAAGGCTATCTGATGGACCCTGTCTCAAACAAACAGGGATTGTAATACGAATTGCTTTTTGGTGTTTTCAGCCTTAAATAAATAAGGTTTATGATTTGGTTGGCATATGGCTGTAAAAAAAAAAAGTATAGCTCCGATTGGGTTCATATCTGTTGTGTCACAGTGTAATTCTTTGTCTAGTTATTTATTTCATGTTCATGAGGAGTGGTGACTAAGAATCCTGACTTCCATCCCTGTCTCTTTCAGCTGCTTCTTACACCTCGGTTTCCCTTTAAATTAAGTAAAAAGGCATTACAAGTTCTGATCAACATCTTTTTGTATCACGATTTCTCAATTCAAAACTTCATCAAAGGACTTAAGGTAAGAAAATCTGATGAGTTTGAAAGTTCGCTGTCTAATTCTATTAAGTTTACATGATTTCAGATTGAATAGTGTGGCAACTGTGGCATTTTAGTAGCAAGATCTAGAAAAGGGAAATTTTACTTTTCTTTTCTAGGTTTTACCTTTTCTTTCTTAAGCAGAAGTCACCTATAGAAGATAGAGTTAGGATATCAGTAATGGATGTTATAGCTAGTCTTAACCATTAATAATCTTATATTTGTTTGTTTGTTTTTCAAGTCAGGGTTTCTCTGTATAGCCTTGGCTGTAATGAAACTCACTCTGTAGACCAGGCTGGCCTTGAACTCAGAAATCCGCCTGCCTCTGCCTCCCAAGTGCTGGGATTAAAGGTGTGCACCCCCACTGCCTGGCAATAATATTATATTTGATCTCATAAATTATACTAGAATTTTAAAATAAATTACATTAGGAGACTAGAGTGATCTATTGTGTGAGCACCTTAGTAGTCAGTGTACCATTTTTTTTTTCTCGAATGTGATAAAACTGAATTTGAAGGTACTGATTTCTGTTACTCTTATCAGTAGGTACAATACCTACCACAGCAGCATTACATTTATTTGAACAGATAGATCTGGCAATATAGTAATTTGGGGTGAAGACATTTGTTAGATCTTTAGGTAATATACTAGTCCCATCTATACTACATTTGCAATCATTTTAAGTGACTTCTGCAGTAATGTATCCAGTTAGGTTGTTTTCTTTTAGTATATATTCCTGAGATTACTTTTTCTGATCTGGTTCACAGAACTGTGGCCTTGAAAATATTAAAGTTGTATAAGTACTGCTGCAATGTTATTGTAACATAATTATTTAAATATTTATGTTTTACGTGTATGGGTATATTTCCTACGAGTATGTTTGTTCCCCACATGTGCAGTGCCTTAAAGGGTTCTCTAAACTAAAGTTACCAATGATTGGTAGCTGCCTTCTGGTTGCTGAGAACCGAACCTGGTCACCTTCAAAAGTAACAAGTGTTCCTCATTGTTGAACCATTTCTTCAACTCCAACCATACATACTTTAGCCCTCAAAAAAGTCTTAAGGATAGGCAGTGGTGGCATACACCTTTACTCCTAGCACTCAGGAGGTAGTGGCAGTCAGATCTCTGAGTTTGAGGGCCAGCCTGATCTATACTGTGAGTTCCAGGATAGCCAGAACTGAAACCCTATCTTGAAAAACCAACCAACCAACCAACCAACCAACCAACCAACCAACCAACCAAACCAACCAACCAACAACAACAACAAAAGGCCTAAAATTTAACAGGTAAGGAATAAAACATTTACTGTCACACTATAATAAATACCTTCATATTTCTTTCAGCTTTCTCTACTAGAACATTTTTATTCCCAGCCCCTAAGTGTTCTGTGCTGTGATCTCTCAGAAGCCAAAAAAAGAATAAATGGTTTCTCAGTTAATGAATGTGAAGACATCCGGCGCCTTCCTTCATTTAGGAGGTAAAAGTTAAGTATATTTAATTTGTCTTGTACTAGAGACTAGAATGAAATGAAGACTTTGCCTTCGGTTGTTTTTGAAGTTAGGAATGAAATAATAAGCCTTTCATTTTGTAGTATAGAGCCATGCTGCTTTTAATGATGGAATTTCTTTGCTGGATTTAAAATTTTGATATAACTATTTTTACTAATATTTTATATAATTTGCAAGTTCTCCAGAGTTATCTTTGAGAAATAACTCTTCCTATTTCTGGGGTTTATGGCCTCAATGACTTCACTATTTATCATTAAGGTAATCAAGAAACTGATGTCTTGAATTTATTTTTGAAAATTAATGAAAAAATATGGGAACCAATGTAGCTAGTTATTTTTTCTAACATGCTATTCAACTATATAATTGTTTAACATATCTTTTTTCTTTATGGGATACTAAAAATTTTAGGTACGTGGAAAATCAGCCTTTGGAAAAGCAAGTTGCACTGTTGACGAATGAGACCCTTTTAAAGGTAGGAGTGTGTGTGTGTCTTACTGCCTTGTTCTTAACTCCATGCAAAGAATACGCACTAATAAAGCATTCATTAATTGTATAAAAAAGTATCTGTATGTCATAATGTTTGGAGGATGGGGTACTCCTCCATGATGACTAACATGACAAAACCTTGTTTTAAAAGGTAAGGCTTTTTTTTTATCAAGGAAAGAAATTCTCTGATGTTCTATATTTGGAAGCACTTTTACATCCACCAAGAGCCGTATTGATTACATATATATTGTTATAAATAAAAGCATGGAGAAGCCAGGTAGCATAGACATTTACTGCTGAGTGGATGGAACTGATTTCATTTGAAGATATATTATTTATTACTAATCTAACACCAACAAAGAAATAATCTTACAAAGTTATGAGTTATGAAATGACAAATACTACATGTTTTCTCTCGTCTGTTATTTACATTTCTAACAAAGAAAACCTTGAAAGTAGAAGAGAGGACCCTTTTGGAGCAGAAAGGGACAAGTGGGGAGAGGAGTGTGACTAGAGAGCATGACTGTAAAGACCAATGTTCCATGTTTTGAAGCAGCCACTGTGTCTCCTAGTGCTTGCCAGTGCCTTAGCTGGCATCTGTTGCTTTGATGAGACGTCCTGACTAAAACCAAGATGAGGAAGAATGGGCTTATTTGGTTATGCTTCTGCATCACAGTTTATAATGGAAAAAAGGCAGGGCAGGAACTCAAGCAGGCAGTAGTCACAACTAGTAAATGATGGATCCGACATTAATATCTAAACCTCACATCAAAGCCCCATATCCTTTGTAGAATACTTTATTGAGAATGCATGGAAGCTGAGATGCCTAAGGTTCTTTCTTAGTGTTTGAGAAATCAGAAATGGGCTTTTCAAAAACTCTTGCAAGTTAATTCTGAAGGTAATTTATGGGTAGCTCAGGAAACTGCTTTATAGGTAGCTACAGCCTTTATATTCAGGTATCCCTGTCAACCTGCCTGGGAATCCTGCCCAACTGTGTGCTGCCACTATAACTGAAGAATTTGTCCCCAAATGCATAGTTTTGTCATTGTATATTTATGTAGACATTTGCATACATACATTTTAAAAAATGATGTCCCATCATCATAGTGAAGATAAGGTTCATTTTAGTGCTGTGGTCTCTCTGGCAGCTACATAGTTTATATTACTAGTAATGATTTATTATTGATGTTGATTCCTTCATGTCAAAACCAGTTTTCCTTAGTCTCAACATAGTTTTTGAATTACTAACCCTATATACTTTAAAGAAAATTAATGTGTTTGTATTGAAATCATATTTAAAGCTTTTGGCATAATTTTAGCCCTTATAAATTATATGTGAGCTGGGCGGTGGTGGTGCACACCTTTAATCCCAGCACTTGGGAGGCAGAGGCAGGCGGATTTCTGAGTTTGAGGCCAGCCTGGTCTACAGAGTGAGTTCCAGGACAGCCAGGGCTATACAGAGAAACCCTGTCTCAAAAAACCAAAATAAATAAATAATAAATAAATAAATAAATAATATGTGAGCTATGCAGAAGACATTTACTCTAACATGGTAATGCTTCAGTATTTCTATGCCTATTTGTTTAACCAAACACATTCAGAATAAGAAATAAATCTTAAGCATATTAAAGTTGGGAGTAAATTACAGTTAGAAAGAAGACCCAAGCCAGCAGCTTTGTTTTACAATGAGTAGGGTCTTGATAAGAATGGTTCCCATGGGCTCCTGTATTTGAATGCTTGGTCACCAAGGAGTGACATTATTTAAAAGGATTTGAGGTGTGGCCCTGCTGGAGGAAGTGTATCACTAGGGGTGGTCTTGGAAGTTTTCACAAGCCCATGTCAGGCTCTCTCTGAATGGTGCCTGTGATTGCAGAAGTCTCAGCCCCTTCTCCAGCACCAAGTCTGCCTGTGTGCTGCCATGCTCCCCACCATGGTGATAATGGACTAACCCTCCCAATTAAATGCTTACTTTTTATAAATAAGAGTTGTCATGGTCATGGAGCAACAGAAAACTCACACACAAACCACAGCTGAGCAAAAGGAAATGAAGTATCTGAGGTCACAGAACATGTTAGTTTCTCCAAAGACATTGTGGATAGGCACTCTTATATAAACTAACAACCTAACACAGGAATGCAACTGAGTGAATGACAGACAAAAATTATGAAGTTGGAAACGATAGACTTATTTTTATTATTTTTTTATTTTTTGGTTTGGTTTTTTCGAGACAGGGTTTCTCTGTGTAGCTTTGGCTGTCCTGGAACTCACTCTGTAGACCAGGCTAGCCTCGAACTCTCAAACTCAGAGATCCGCCTGCCTCTGCCTCCCAAGTGCTGGGATTAAAGGCGTGCGCCACCACTGCCCGGCAACGATAGACTTATAAAGGCATGTCACACATTAAGTATCAGTTTATATCCTAATATAAATGTATTTTTAAGTCTGTACCTTTTTAAAAATCGGAGCCAATGTTTACAATATGAAAAATTTTACATTCTAGGCTTTTGTCCTTGTAGAAAGCTAGGAAATCTAGGCCGTATCTAACAAAATAATAAAGTAATAGCTCATATTTAAGAGACTGAATGGGGCCTTCATTCATTACACTTTTTTTGAAATAATCTGTTATGTGCCAGTGATTAGCATAGATCCTAAGAATAGAAATGAACAAAAAAGACAGAATTCTTGCTTCATGAACTTACCATTCGCTCAGCAGAGAGACAAACAAGTAAGTGGTTTCTGCTAGTGGAAATGCTAGGAAGGAAGTAGTGAGTGTGAGAATCAGAACCAAATTCTCTGAGCCTGGGGAGTCAGGAATTTAGACAAGACCTTCAGCCTAAAATGAACTTAGTGAAGACTTAAAGAAAGATACAGAGCTGCCACTTAGGGCAGTAGAGGGAGAGACCTGAAGACCACAAATGTGGAAGGTGAAAGGCTGGTGCATTTGTGCCATATTTGGGCATTGGCAAACAGCTATTTTATGTTTGCTCGGATATGGTGTATAGCTTACATATACAGGATATAATTTTACGTTAAAATTCAGCATGAATCCTAAGTGGACTTCATGTTTCAACAGCAGAGAAAGACCTCTTTGGGGAAAACAGTAAATTCTTAGCCATGCTATATAATTTGTTGAAAAGAATCATCCTAAACACAATTATGAAATCCACTGACAATTGTGACTACTATATAGAAAAGATGCCCAAAGACAAAAAGGTTGATTATAAGTATATTCAAAGAAATCAGAAGATACAAATTCCAGATAAACAGATTAGTGCAATGAATTTAAATTCAATACATCAAGGTGGAATTCAATAAAGAGATAAATATACTAATGGAAAAATAAACAAATATTGGAGAGGGACAACAGTGTAAGTCTAATAGAAAGGAGAAGCACCATGGGAATCTCACCAGTAAATTAGATCAAGAAGTAGACGGCATATCTGAACTGGAAGACAAAATGTAAGAGGATTTAAAATTTTCCAAGAAAAAGACAAATACAATAAGTAGGGTAGGAACAGGATTTTCAAGACATTTGAGACACTTTGAAAATACCAAATTTAAGCGTAGAAGAATTTCATTCTAGTGGCATTAAAAACACTTCAACAAATCATTTCCCAAAATTGGAGAAATAGGTACCAGACCAGACAGAGGATGTTTCCAATATCAAATAAACAAGAGCTGAGAAGAATTCATCGCATCACATGTAATTAAACCACTAATATGCAGAACAAAGAAAGAAATTAGAGTACAAGTGCCAGGAAGGAAGCAGTACATTTATGTAGAAAAGCAGACCTCTTGAAATAATAGTTCTCAACACAAACTTTAAAGCCACAGTGGTCTGGACTGGTTTATTCCAAGTTCTGAAAGATAATAACTACCAACTCATACTGCTGTATTCAGCAAAATCATTTGTTATAATTGAAGAAGAAAGAAAAACTTCATTCTTTAAAATCAGGTTTAAAGAATCCTTCAGAATGAAGAGGAAGACAAACATCCCATGGAGCCATAGGGAATAACAGTTAACAGAGAAACAACAAACACTACAAAATCAACAAAATGACAGAAAATCATACACATTTTACAACAAAGAAACATTGGAATTGAATGATAATATAATTAGCATTGTATCCAGGTGCTCTAAAATACAAATTCTCCTAGCAGCCCATGGACCATTCTAAAGTAGATCATATATTAGGAGACTAAGCAAGACTTAACATAGAAAAATAATTTACTGTATTTAAGTTTTTTTGTGAATATAGGATGTGTGTGTGTGTGAATTCACATGTACACATGCAGCTTGTATACATGAGGCTCAGAGGACCTTTCAGCAGAGACTCTCTTCCTTCTCTCATGGAATCCAGAAACAGAACTTTGAGGTTCAGGTTTAGAGAGTGAACACCTGACCCTTGTGATCCTTCTTTCAGCACATGATTTTTTTTGTCTATCAGATTATGGTGTAATAGCACTGCAGTTACTAGCAATAGAAATTCAGGGATATCAAATAACACCATATTAAATAAGAATGAGGCCTTGAGAAAATCTTTGAGAAAAAAAAAATAAAAGAATACGAGAACGTGCCAGAACTTACACAGTGAAAACAGACCCAAGAAGAAACATAGCTACCAGGACCACAAATAAATAGCTCGATGATTACCTTTAGGTCTTACCAACAGATAACAACAAAAAGCAAGAATGAGCCAAGCATAGAATTAGCAGACATAGATAAATAATTAAGATCAGGGCAGACATTAATTTAAATGGAAACGAGGTTAGGAAGATATCAGTAGCAGGTCCTGTTCTGGAGTCTTCGGCCTCATTAGCCATGAGTAGTTGGCTTAGTTTACAATACCAGGCATGAATTCCTTCCTATTGGTCAGGCCTTAAATTCAAGCAGAGAGTGTTGGTTACCCCCAGGATTACAGTGCCATTATTCCTAAGCACAAGTTTTCTTAAAGTGTTTGATAGAAAAGATTAGTATCTCTTATTCCTTACAATAATACTCTTTTTTCTTTGTGATACTTTATTTTTAGAACTTCACAAATAAATACACTGTATTTTACATTATTTCTACCCCAAGTCTCTTGTACCTTTAATCCCCTGTTAATGACTTTATTTTTGACTACATTTTTTTTTTTTTAAATTTGGGGTGTAATTAGAAAGAGACTGCATTGTTTTGATGACTTCTTAAAACTACTATGTTTTTCTCTATAGTCTTCCAAGAAGGGCTGTTTTTAAGAGTTACTTCTAAAGTCATATGGTCATCAACTTTGGGGTCTATAAGCAAAGGTGCAGTGAAACCACCCAAATGGACCACACAAGGGTAGAAAGAAGAGTTTGTTGGGGGAACTGTTTGCTTCTAAGAATATAGGATAGGAACTTGGTGGGGAAGCAAGCAGAATTTTATTTGATAGTCATCAGGGTAGGGCCTTTGAGCTGCTACAGGCTGTTGGGATTCACTAGATGCCCTTGCCTGAGGTAGTTGATCCTTGAGGCAGGTAGGGAAGATAGTGTCTTTGGCTTATGAGATTCCTTAGGAATGCTGAATTTAGACCTCTGTTTACCCAGTAATAGTTCTTCAGGTTACTAGCACAGAGGCCTTCTGTTTTAGACATTGTCACCAGCACTGCCAATTTTATTCTCCAACTCCTGACTTGACATTCTAGCCTTTTGTTGATAAGGCACAATGGTAGTTAGTCCTCTAGTTACTTCCAGCTGAATGGCGACTTTGGGAGCCTCTTGGGTAGGCTAGAATATGGGTCAAAGGCAGGAGAATTAGGCAATGGTAGGATGTGGTTTAATGACTGTTGAGTTATTTCACTACTTCTCTCCAAAGGAACCTGAAGAGACAGGGAGAAATTTAGTACAAAGAGGCTAAAGACCAGTAGGCCTAGGAGGGATAGAAGTCAGGGCTGCAGACAGGACCACGGTGAGAATCTCACATCGGAGTCATCTCTTTAGAGTTGGTAAGCCAATCTCTTCAACACTCTTCCTTGAGGAAAAGGCAAGTACCATCCACAGCTGTCTACTGATATGATCTTATCAGCCAAACCGTTTTAAAATAAAGATTCCCCTAAGCTCCTCAATGGATCAGCCCACTGAAGCCCCTTTGATTGGGCAAGGGAGCTGAGCTGGTCTTGGACTAGCTGCACGGTAGAGGGGGTGAAATCTGATGAGATAGAAACAGGCCAGGGGAATCTTTATCTTAAAATGGTTTGGCTGATAGGCTCATGTCAGTAGGTGGCTGAGGATGGACGTAATCAGCATATTCCTGGAGAACGTGTCCTAACAGAGTAAGAGAAGCTAGGTAGTTATGGAATAGAGCAGTTTCCAGAGGAGATAAATTTCTCAACAGGATGCTCCCACATTAACTCAAATGGGCTTCAGAAGGACGGGCATGCTTTGGACCTAACAGGGCCTACTTTGCCTATAAATGCTACTAAAAATTAAAACCTAAGTTGACCCCAAGAAATGTACTCTGTGAATGTTGACAACAGAAGGAACATCTTGCCTGTTAGTATAGCTAGTATACTATTATTTGTTGAATTGAGGAAGAAACTCATTTTCTTCATTATGTCAACAAAAAGCCATAGTTCTTATCTTAAAGGAAATAAGAGATATTCTGGAGCCATTTTGAGTGACCATGGCCAGGGAAACATGGATTTAGTTTATACCAAATTCCATATTCCAGTGTGGAAGCAGTTTCATGAGTTCTTACAGTTTTACAAAACAAAGAAAATAATAAATCAAGTCAAGATTAAACTCACTAGTGGATACATTGGTGCGGTGGTGCAGTGAGATGGAGCTTTTCTATGGGACTAAGATGCCATCTAATGAGGTTCCTAGCTTTTGGGTTGGCAAATCTAGTGGTCTGCTGCGTTAATAGATTCCAAAGGCTTTTTAAAATTTATTGTCACAGGATGTTTAATTCTGACACAGACTGGGGGTAAGAAATGGCCATTTCAGAGCAGACTGTAGCCTGAGATAAGATAACTGACTTCTGGACCTGCAATGCTCCAATCTCTTCACAGTACTGAAATTCTAACTAGGCTGATAGTGTTGGTTCAGGTTTGAGAAATCTGAATATTGGTTTGTATGGATTTACAGTCTACATGCAACATTGGCAGTATGAAAATAGCTTTTACAATTCTACCTGTATCCACATAGGTTCTCTTACTAGTTAACTGAACTTTTAAAACTGGTATTGTAACATTACAATGTTTTACACCAATTTAGTGCACTTACAGTGCAAAGTGTATAACTTTTCTGATGTAAACCAAAGATGCCCTTCTCAAGGTTCAGCAGCCTTCTTCAGCAGCATTTGACGGATGATTCTTTTATATGTAGATTTATAAGAGATAAAAATAAACCAGGTTGCAGGCTTTATTTCATAAACAATATAGTAAATTTCTGGTTAAGATTATGTAGGTTGTGTTACAGATGACTTGTTTGAGGGTAGACCATTGGCATTTATTCTCTGTACTTGAATCTGGGTAGGTCTCAGTAATAATCTCCAGCGATGGCAGGAAGTATGAGACTGAATGCTGCACTTAGGTATGAATACAAGTTCTTGGCTAGGTCAGCAGTACCAGGCATGAGCTCTCCATGTCCAATTAGTGGGCTACTCACAAGATATAAGTACCAATATTGTAGCATTGGGGATATCTTGCTGGGCCAGTAGTACAGTTGCAGGCTAGTTAGAACTTTCTTTCTTTCTTTTTTTTTTTTACTTTTGGTTTTTTTCAAGACAGGGTTTCTCTGTGTAGCCCTGGCTGTCCTGGAACTCTCTCTATAGACCAGGATGGCCTCAAACTCAGAAATCCACCTGCCTCTGCCTCCCAAGTGCTGGGATTAAAGGCATGCGCCACCACTGCCCGGCTAGCTAGAACTTTCAATAACTGTTCTTCCTTGGCAGTTTCAAATACTATAAGAGCTAACCCTCAGGGAGAAGGGTTCTAGGTCAGTACTTGCTTGATTTCTGGTTCTATGACTGAATTCCATGTTGTCTTCAATGATAGGGTCTTCCCTTCAACTTCTTAATCCAGTGTCACCTACAGAAGCAGCCATGCTACAACTCAGAGGACAGACTGTGGGAGATCTTGAGTAGTATGCCTGGGTGCACAGCTGTGTGCTTGCCCTTTTTTCTCCTGGCACCTTTCTTTGGCCTTGTTGCAAGATTATAACAAATCAGAGTTGTTTATTACTCTTCTCTTTCCCTTGCTCTTCTAGGTTAAGGCCCTCAAAAACCAGAGTTTGCATGAAAAAGGAAATATTAATAACTGGATGGGACAGTTCTCACTTCTTTTACCCTCTAAGTGTGACCTTAAGCGGGTTCCTTGGTCTGCAATTCCATTTTCTTACACAATCTTGTGTACTTAGTTGAGCAGCATCCTTAACTGCCATATTCATTCAGTCTTATGGTGTAGCTTAAACTCAGTTGAGCAGGAAGTTGGAAAACAACGACAGCATAGGGGAAATTGAGGATGAGCTCCAGAGGGATAGGAGGTTTGGTAAAGCAGTATTTGACAGCTCGAATCCCCATCCACCAATAGCAAGGCTTTAATGCTTCTGAACAACTGAAAGAAGTCCAACCATCTTAATCTCATGGTCATGATCTAACAGAAAAGTGCTAAGTATATCAGAATTATAATCCCTGGATGACAGCATCTAGGAAAGAGTCATGCAGTTGATGTTAAAGTATGCAGTAAGTGGTCTCCACTGTATTTACTTTGTTTATTGACCAAGAGACTGTTGAGAAGAAAGCACAGGAGGTTCTCCATTGAATTGACGGCCAGAACAACAGTGTGCTATTTCGGTGAAGTTGAGAAAAGTCATGTCACTCTCTGTAGTACACAGCAGTTAGGTAATAGAGGCAGACAGGATAAAAATGCTCTATTACAAGTGTGTAATTGGAGGGGTGGATGGCAGGACAGACTAAATTACAATGACAGTTCTGATGTATCTAAAATATAGCCAATTGTCTGGACTGTGTCCTAAATTTGATATGTCAAGTTTTCATGAATTAAGTAACTTGTAGTTCTAAATACTCATCAGTTTTCTAGAAAGTATGTATCCATAAAGTAATTTTTAAATTTTATTTTACTACCATTCATATTATTATTCTGTGATTTTTAGGAGAAAACTCAATCATTATTGGAAGATCTGCATGTTTACCATATCAATTACTTCCTTGTTTTGAGATGTCTTCATAATTTTACCTCTTCTCTTCCCAAGTACCCACTGGGTCGACAGGTAAGTAAAATTTTCTCATTGGGAGTCAACAAAGTAAGACTAATAGTACTTTTTGTTTTGATTTCTCTATTACTTAGGCATCAGACTTTGAAATGAAGCCAGCTCTTATAATAAGAAAACAATCTATTACAGCTGTTCACATTCCTGATAATAGAAAATGGATTTGTTCTGAAAGTTAGAGCTAGAAATAGCCACATGAATCCCAGTGGATTGTCTCCTCTGTGCGTGTGCTTTAGTCTATAGCCTTGCTAATTTGGCACTCTGTTCTGTGCTTAGAGAGAGCTCGTTCTCCATCCCTGGGGAACTGGGAGATGGAAACTGTTTGAAAGTATTTGGTGGTTAACTTTGCATTATACCAAGAATTAAAACAAACACAGTACTGCTCTTTGCAAAATTATGCTGAGATGACCTTTTTATTACACCACAAACCTATGAGCTCTGTGTAGGATGCATGTGAATGGAAGAATATTTAATTTCCAGATGTTTAGATCAGAGTTTTAGAGACTGATTAGAACAATGGCCTGTGTGGGGGTCTTCTAACTTAGCTATCAAACCTTCAGTCAGCCATTTATCCCATCTTTAATGATACTTTAAAGTGACTTATTGGTATCGGTCACTCCCAATATAATTTGACTTTTATGTAAATTATATTTTTATAGGATCTGATCCAATATATGTCAAGAAGCCCCTTGTAATCTAATGATTTTTTTTTTATTAATAGTATACATATGATGGTTTTGCGTAACTAGTAGGCTATAAACTTGGCATTATTTTTCATTCCTTATAAATCATATCCTACATTTATAGATTAGGGAGCTGTATTGCACATGTTTAGAAACGAAGATATGGGATTCGGAGGAGTATGCATCAGCCTTGCAGCTGCTAAGGTAACTTTTTGTTGTTCTTTTTTTTCGGGGGTGGGGGGGAGTCTACTTTGAGTCTGCCAGTAGCACCTTCCTCCAGAACTCCTGTCTGCACGAAAGCTTCCTATGTAGCCTGTATGTAAGAATATTTCAGCACCTTTTGAATTGATATGTGCAGTTTCTAGTGGTGGTAATGTAGCAACCATCTATTTCTTACTGTAGCCTGTGCTTCTAGTGTACCTTCTTAACTCATATAGCATTTGACAGCTACCAGCACAGTGTGCCTTACATTTGGCCCTGAGGTTGCTCATATGATATTAGAAAACATTTTAATCTATTGATTTTGGGCCAGATATAACCAAAATTAGTTCATTGTAAAGACCTCATTTTTTTAGAGCCTTGCTTTTCTCTCTGTTTCCCCCCTTACTTTTTAATTGGGCTGTTTAGTGGGTACCCAGCTCTCCAACCTTTTGTTTACCTTTATCACTTGAATGTATCTGATTTGCACTCTTGTTTTTTTAACATTTTCTTCTCAGGGATCTAGGATCCAATTTTTTTGCGATATAGGGTAACAACTGATCTTAGCTGCTTTGGAGCCAAGTAGAGACAATGAAAGGACTTTAGGGTTCACAGTAAGGGAAAGTGGGGATGCATAGTGTTACTGGAGGTAATTCAACTGTCTGTGGTAGAAGGAGGCATGGTGGTCATGTGGTCAAGGGTTGGCACCCCTTAGTTATTAGCTTTATAAAGGTTTAGGGATTGGAATCTGGAAGACATCAATCATAAATGAACAGGATGAAAGACATAGACAGGCAGTCACATCCAGTATAGGAACAATTTGTTGGATTTTGAAAGGGCACTTTTTTTTTGGGGGGGGGGGTGGTTTTTCGAGACAGGGTTTCTCTGTGTAGCCCTGGCTGTCCTGGAACTCACTGTAGACCAGGCTGGTCTCGAACTCAGAAATCCACCTGCCTCTGCCTCCCAAGTGCTGGGATTAAAGGCATGCGCCACCATCGCCTGGCCTGAAAGGGCACTTCTAAGTAGTCATTTAAAGAGATTTAGGGAGTGTTCAAAAAAGGCTTTGCTTTTTTGTCATAGATTCATATCTGAATTTAATTTTTGAGTCTCTTGTGAAGTGAACGTACTCAACTGGTTTATTCTTTCAGTAGGCCTCTCCTGGTTCTCATTTTCAGTATTTCCTGGAAAATAGAGGTTAATCTTTGACAAGTGAACTTAGTAACAGTCTAAAATTTCACATACGTGATAAACCTGGCAAAATTGTTTAATGGTTTTGCTTGTACTTCCTATTGCATTTTAAGGCCCTGTAGGTATCCACATATGTATCCTTTCTTTTTAAAGTCATCAGTCTCCTTTAGTTCTTCCTGTAGGCATGGGTCATCTCCATGTTACTACCTGCTGACCATGTAACTACCTGTAGCATTTGGAGCATGTCCATTTCCACTGACTCTCCTCCCTCGGGGATATATACTGGCGGGGGCCTGAGATTTGGGGGTTTCATGGCCTCTGTTTAAGAAAAGTTCCCTTTAAGAACAAGGGCCACAATATTTGCTGTGGTTTGGGGCCCTCTTACCCTTGTTGGTACAGGCCTCCAAGGTTTGAGTGCTGAACTCAGAAGGAAGGTCTTACCAGTTGTACTGTTTTACTTTCCAAACTGACTCAGTTTCCCCGGGTGATTAAAAGTTAATAAAGTTAGGAACTAGAGAGGGTACCTCAGTGCTTGCTGTTCTTGTAGAGGGCTTGGATTCAGACCTCATTGTGGCTGGAAGCTCACTAGTGAGCTAGCCTAGCCCAAAACCTTGGGGTTTTGGTTCAGTGAGAGACCCTGTCTCCAAAACTAAGGTGGAGGGCTGTCTTTTGAGTTGCTTCCACAAACATTTCAGCTTGAACAAGTCACTAATAACCACATAGAGAAAGGAGAAACCTGACATTCATAAGTTGTCCTGTGGCCTCCACACGTGTTGTAATATTCATGTGCACACACATGTGCACAAACACAAATACACACCTAAGTAATGTAGACTTAATAAAAGGGTGTGGAGCAATAGGAGAGGACACCTGCTGTCATCCCTTGGCTCCTGCATGCATAAACGATACTTCTACCTACACACTCATGTGCATTGTCTTAGTCACTGTTCTCTTACTGTGAAGAAATACCAAGTTTATGGCACCTCTTGTGAAATAAAGCACTTATCTGGAGGCTTGTTTACAGTTCCAGAGGTTTAATATATTATCCTCATGGTAGGGCAGAGGGAGAAGCATAGCAACGGGTGCTGCAGCAGCAGCTGAGCTCTACATGCTGGTCCCGAGGCAGAGGAGAGACAGAGAATGTGACAGAGCGTGCAAGAGAGCACCAGCATGCTTGGCACACACAAGCAAGTGCCTAGGTCTGGCATGTGCTTTTGAAACCTCAAAACCCACCCTCAGTGACACTTTCTCCAAGGAGGCCACACCTCCTAATCCTTATAATTCTTTCAGAGTTCTACTCCTTGGTGACTAAGCATGCAAATATAAGAGCCATTGGGGGCCATTGTCATTCAAGCCACCACAGGCATCCCCCCTCACACATAACACCATACACACCACTTCTGTAGTGAGAAAGGGAACTACAGTGGGAGGTAGGTTTCTATACAAGGCTTGAACTTTCCTCAGTAGGTACAAATTCGGATGTGAACACGGTATTTTTGTTGTTTCCTTTCCTTTCTTTTGAGATAATGCCTCCCCATGTAGCTGAGGCCAGCCTTGAATTCAGAGTCCTCCTGCCTCTGGCAGTGTACATGCCACATCTAGCAACCCGAACATGTTAGAAGTCTGTTAGCTGGATTTAGTTGTAGTCCTCATCCCCTCCATGCCCAGAAGAACAGATGGGCGGGCACCGTAGGAAGTTAATAACTTTTTGTTGCCTCGATAAATCACTATAGCCAAGGCAGTGTATACAGGAGGTTCCTTTGGCTCAGGGGTGCAGGGGTTTACGCAGTGGTGGTAGCAGGCAGCATGGCAGCAGGTGGCAGGCTTCTGGAGCCACAAGGATCCCAGAGATGGCATCCCACTTCCAATGCTGTGCTCTCTCCAGCAAGGCAGGACTTCCTCTGCCTCCCTCCCCAGACAGCACCACCACCTGATACCCAAGTGTGCAAATACATGAACATACAGGAGACATTCTTATTCAAGCTGAACCAAAGTCTGAAAACTGTAATACAATCATTATTATTTCCTTTTCTTTTTCCTTTTTGTTTTTTTTGTTTTGTTTTTTCGAGACAGGGTTTCTCTGTATAGTCCTGGCTGTCCTGGAACTCACTCTGTAGACCAGGCTGGCCTCGAAGTCTCGAACTCAGAAATCCGCCTGCCTCTGCCTCCCAAGTGCTGGGATTAAAGGCGTGCGCCACCACCGCCCGGCTCATTATTTCCTACTGAGGAAAGTTGAAACCTTGTATAGACACCTACCTTCTACTAGTTCTCTTTCTTAATACTGAAGTGGCTGCTATCTGTATGTATGAGGGGGATGCCTGTGGTGGCTTGAATGACAGTGGCCCCCAATGGCTCTTATATTTAAACGCTTTAGGTGCAGTGTGACTATGAAACTGAGATTTCTTACTATATGGAAAAATAAATCACCAAAGAAATTTGATTTTCACTGAAAAGTTTTGTTTTGGAGATAGGGTCTCACTTTGTATTACTGGCTGGTCTAGCTAGGTAGACTAGGCTAGCCATGAGACACTGTGATTCCTCTCTCCCAAGTGCTGGGATTAAAGGTGTATGACACCTTTAGTGTATGACAATTCTCAGCAATACTTTTTTTTTCATTTTTTTGAAAAAAGTTATTAAATTGTTTTTTTGTGTGTTTATAAACTTTAAAATCGATGATTTCTGAAACTTTGCTAGTCCAGGATGGCAGGCACTCAGGTAAGCTTGTACTGTCAAGGAGTAAGCACCTTTACTCCATGAGTCATCTCTCCAGCCCCTAGCCGATTGATTCCTTGTGTTATAATTTTATTATTAGAACCTGTCATCCCTCTCTTCTTAGGTATTCCCACATTCATTTATCTGTGAAGAACTTACTCATAAAATTCCTGGGCTTACAAAACTCAGAGTCTGGTTAGGGCCCATAAATGGCAATCCAGTAGGGTACAGTACCTACATTACAGAAGTAATGTTGATCATAGTAACGACCTGCCTTAGCACCCTGAGCACATTTTACAGTCCAGTGCAGTCTAGCTTTCCAGTAGGTCAGTTAGCCATATTTTCCCTGGGAAATCTGGAGCATAAATAGGGACTAAGTGACCTGCACAAGATTGCTTCACTGCTAATAGGATCATAATTCAGACCTGACTTAAAAGCTGTTTGTAGCCGGGCGGTGGTGGTGCACGCCTTTAATCCCAGCACTTGGGAGGCAGAGGCAGGCGGATTTCTGAGTTCGAGAGTTCGAGGCTAGCCTGGTCTACAGAGTGAGTTCCAGGACAGCCAGGGCTACAAAGAGAAACCCTGTCTCGAAAAACCAAAAAAAAAAAAAAAAAAAAGCTGTTTGTACTTTTAGCTTTTATTTGCCAAGATCTAAAGTGGAAGCCAGGGGCTATAAATAAATCAAAACCAATAAATACCAAGTATAGTTTCCATCTTTTTATTAAGTTGAGCTTAATTAAGTACTGAGCATCAGACATAGCAGTTCTAACAAGGACAGTTAAAAGTGAGGCCAACACCTAAGAGAAGTGACGGAGAAGCTTGCAGCTTCACAGTGAATGTCTCCCCTCCTGTAGACACATTAGGTATGTACAACATTAGCAACAGTTTTTGTTGTTTGCATAAAGTCTGAAAAACAGTTTTTCCTAGTTGGCAGAACAGGAGCTTAAATGTAGATCTTCAAAATCTAGCATATTTTCTTTTGCATTCCAAACAGAAAAGAAATGTATCTCATTTAGGTATGTCTTCCACATTCAGAGATTCTAAAAGGTTTCAAAATGAGCCAAGAGTAATAATAGCTTTTGTGGACTCCAGCACCTCATTCACCCTGCCTGCCTATCTCAGTACACAGTACAGACAGAAAAATGAAACACTGTTCAGTCTACATGTCCCAAGTGCATTGTTATGAACTTATTGAAAAAAGCAAACTTATACATTGAAGCTGTCATGGATTCTACTCTGAATGTGGAATTCTAGTTCTGAATTTGGTGCTTAATTTCTTTCTTTCTTTTTTTGTTTGTTTGTTTGTTTTTAGAGACAGGGTTTCTCTGTGTAGTTCTGGCTGTCCTGGAACTTACTCTGTAGACCAGGCTGGCCTTGAACTCAGAAATCCGCCTCTGCCTCCCAAGTGCTGGGATTAAAGGTGTGTGCCACCACTGTCTGGCGAATTTTGAAATTTAAATGAAGTTTCTTAACTCTACATTTAAATTTCAGATGATAGTGGAACACTTCCTAAAGAATAAACTAACCTACTGTATGTTAGATTTATTGATGTAGGAGCTAAGACTATTATTACCAAAATGGTATTACTTTCTTTTAATATAAAGATTGATGGTTCTGAATGTGTATTGTGTTAGATTCTCTATAGGCATTTATAGGCTTAGCATGAAACCAGACAGGAAGCTGTATTTAAAAGATTTTGAGGCTCACTATTTCTTGAGTATTGGTTTCAGGTACCATCGAAGGTATATCAACCATAGATTTCTGCCATCTCCTCAAAGACTGTGAATAAGACAACTGATGAGCCAAATGCAGTAGAACTTTATCTTGGCTTTAGTTCAAAGAAACTTGGTCTTCACTATAAGCTTATTAAGCTATGAAACTGTTAAGATATAAGTTAATTAAGGTATACCAAGTAATCAAATTGGTAAAGTACTGTTCTTAGAATTACTGTTGGTCTCACTGGATAAGTTAGTTGTAAAAATAAGTTGTTACCCAGTACAACTGTCCTCTCCCATGCTTTTGCTTCCTATTGTCCACGTGATCTCTTCCTCCCAGTGCACTCCTTTCTGATGCCACATCTAATGGTGCCCTCATCAGTTACCTAATCATGGAACTATCCATCCAATTTTGGGTTTTTTGTTTTTTGTTTTTTTTTTTGGTTTTTCAAGACAGGGTTTTTCTGTGTAGCCCTGCCAGGCTGGCCTCAAACTCAGAAATCCGCCTGCCTCTGCCTCCTAAGTGCTGGGATTAAAGGCGTGCACCACCAGTGCCCAGCAATTTTGGACTTTTATCCTTCAAAACTACAAGCTAAATAAACCTATTTGCTTTAAAAAGTACCTTGCTTTGGTATTTTGTTGTAGTAAAAGAATATTGGCACTTAAAAGAATAGCATAATCAGACAACAAGGAATCATATGTTAATAAATACTATTTTAGAAAATAAAAGGAATAAATTTTTGAGAGAATTTTATTTGTGGAAAAGATGGATGGCTTTAGACATTGATCTCAAATTAATTCCAAAACTGGACTGAAATCATCTATTTTATGGCAAACAATGACTTTTATCACTATAACCATAAAAAGATAGAAGTTTGTGTTTTTATTCTTTTTTTTTTTTTGCTAGTAAAAGGAACGTATAAGACAGCAGTTTTGTCTTAAGCACATTTACAATGAGGCTCTTGTGTTTGATCATCTAACTGGTGTTATCAAAGTTACCCATAACCTGCATGTTCCTAAACTTCACTGTTGATTCTGTGTTTGCTCCTATGGTCCCAGCCTTTGACAGTTTATTACTTCTTCTGTGGTTTCCCCTCATCAGTGCACGTCCCTCCAAGTTTCTCTGATGCTTTTGGGGCCTTGTGGGATATACGGTACAGATCTTACAGTTGACATATATGAAACTGAAACCCTGCTCTTGCCCCTTTCAGCAGTTTCTGTATCCTTATTGTCCAATCAAAAGGAACTTGGGCTGCCTTTGGAATTTATCAAGAACCAGATAACCGATTTCTTGTTTGGTATAGATTATAAAGTCATTGACATTTCTTCCCTTGATTATTGTAATAGTCTTCTGCTTGGTTTTTCTGATTTTATGCGTATTCTGTTACAGAATAGTCTTTTGAAAATAAGACTAGTAATTTTATTTTTTCTTAAAACCATTAACGTGAAGTTTTGTTTCCACTTAGAGATAAGGATGCTAAGGACCAGAAACGGGTAAAGAACTTGCTATGTCTTACCCTATCAGAGCCAGATTGTAAACACAAACCTTTGGAAACTTGCTCAGCTAAGCACAGTGTTTAGAAATCTATACTTTTTAATGTCATAAATGTTAAACAAAATCATTAAATATGTTGAAGAAGCATTAGGTGTGCTAATTTTCTAGTTATGCTAGATCTCCTGTCACTGTTTTTCTAGAATGCTGGCAAAGGATGAACTGATGAGCATACTTCAGCAATGTATTGAGGTTTTGAACTCCTCTACTGAAAAGCAGCTTGGCAATACAACACAGAAAATAAAGGATTTCCTGACACAGTTTCAGAACCTTGATGGTAAGTGTAATAATATCCTGCTCACTGACAGTCTTTTAACCAGAATGGCATCGAAACTCTTCAGTATCAGTCAGCAGACCAGTCTCCAAATGTAGCATCTTAACAAGTGCAAGTAGGCAAAGTATTTCACCTCTGGATTTGTTTTAAACAATGTAGAAATATAGAACATTTTTTATTCTTCAGGTGAAAATAGGCGATAGACAGTTCTCATTCTAACTAGGGGTGCTGGGATGGGGTTAAGGAAAGAGGCTTGACTCATAAGCAACAGTTAGACACGGCATCATAGAAGTGCCTTCTTTGGAATGTTCGTTTGAATCCCTCCTGTGGCAGATATTCCTTTGTCTTTAAATTCCATTAGTTATAGAAAACTGTCTTTGTGGACATCTCTCCTCATACCTCTGTATCTCTTATTCAGGGGATATCTGAGAAGTACTCAATTACAGATTAAGGCAGGTGAGCAGTGATAATTTGCTTCCTCCCAGTTTTATGTGGGAGGTGACCTTTAGCACCGCAGCAATGACCCTGAACCATTCCACAAAAGTAAAATGTTAAAAGACTAGAAGTTGAGATCATTCCAGCTATGAGAAACTGAAATCTGGGAAGAAAAGTAAACTGCTTTATACTTCACAGCACCCAGACTATAGCCAATCTCTTGGCTTCCAGCTGAGTGTGTGTGTGTGTAAAAGTGTGTATAAAATCAGTTCACAGTTGTAATCTCACCAGTGAGAAGCAAAGAAAAAAATAAGCCCAAAGATATAGAAGAATATAAAAAATATAAAATAGTCTCAGGAATTCTATAAAAAAAGAAACTGCAGATTCCATAATTTTAATTAGAGTTTATGTAACATGACCTAGTGGAGAAATCCTGTGATAAATTAGCACTAAGTGATTATCACTTTTCAAATGGAAAGGCTGAAGATTAAAATGTTTGACAACAATATAAAGAATAGAATGTTTTATGAATTAAAACAAAACTACCATTCTGCTGATTTGTCTTTATTTTTTTATTTAAAAAAGCAACTATTATTAATAACAAAGTATATTTAATATTTCTCACAAGAAGAAATATTTGGTTATTTGCCACGTATGGTCTCTTTATACTGTTGACATATTTTAATTTAGAATTAAACTGGAGAGAGTTAAATCAGGCTGAGTGTTATAATGAGTTTTAAGGTTCTGCTACATGGCAACAGAGTAGAATAAAGAATTAGCTAGTAGTTATCCTAACCTTATGTTATAACTTTCTAAAATTAGGAATTATCTTTTGGTTCTTTTTTAGCCAATTTTTATATTATATTTGAACCAAACCATTGTCAGGTTCCCAAGTCAGAGAGAGTATCACATCCTTCTGAAGCATAGCCATACATTTATATCAGTAAGAAATTTCTCTTCCTTGAATTACTTTTACAGCTTTTTTGCACCACCTTCCTTATGCTAAACAGTAATGAATCAAAAGCAGTACTTTGGAAGGTTGAGCACATGCTTACAATCTTAGGTCAAAGGGAAATAGTTTCAAGTCTGTATGATTTTTTTATATAGGCTTTTGTTCTGTTGGCTAGAAACGCTCTCAGAGTTCTCACTACCATCTAAACAATGTAGCATGTATTGCCTTCAGTTCCTGGAAGGAGTATCATTTGACAGTCTCACTCATGTTTAAAAAAAAGTAAAAATTCTACTTCCAATGTCTATTCTCTGTTGTATATTGGTTTTTCATTCAAAGCAGATAGCAAAGAAGAAGAGGATGCTTGTGAATCACAGCCAAAGGGGCTGCAGAAGACAGACCTGTATCACCTTCAGAAGGTAGACATTTTTCTCTTCCTTCCAGCTGCATTGGGAGTGGTTCCCTTGTTTTAATTGGTTCTGCCAGAATGTCATCACTTTCATATCTTACATCACAACCAGGAACAATACAAACAGACTGAAGCTAATAACTCAGACATACTGATGCCATCTAAACTGCAGGAAGGGGTTGGTTTTCTGTGCTAATTAAAGAATTAGAAGGCAGGAAAGAAGTGTTACAGTTAATCTCAGGTAACTCCTGTGGGGACAGTGGAGGCATTTTATATATAGTACCAGGAAAATCAAAGTCCCTTTTTTGGGTCCTTAGTCTCATTAATGAAAAAATTAACCAAGTGCCCAGATAAGCTGGACAGCAGTTTACTAGGTTTTGTTGTTGCTGTTGTGTTGTTTTATTTTAACCCCCCCCCCCAAAACAAAGCAGGCAAGCTGTAACTGTCGGAGCTGCCAAGAGGAGGGAAGATAGGCTGGCATGGCAGCAGGCAGCCACATGGCAGGGAGGATAGCTTTAGAGACTATAGAAGCCCTGAGAACTAGGACATTAAAAAGCATGCTTAGGCTCTGGCCAGCATGCAAAAGAAACAGAAGTGATTATTCCTGAGTCAGTACTCAGAAAGACTGGCAAACCCAGGCAAACGTCATGGAAGTTCTTCACTAACTACACAAGATGTTGGGCTTCTGGAGGAAAAAGCACATTATCTTTTGTGTGTGTGTGTGTTTCAGCAGCTTTTATTACTTTAATTGAATGAGTGTAGACAAATGCTAGCAGAAAGAAAAACACAGGAGATTGGATATATGATGGCCTGGTCAGTATAGTGCTTTCCCTGTAAGTGTGAGACCCTCAGTTCTATTATTAGACCTGGTATAAAATGCAGAACATGAGCAATAAAAGACAGGCATGTTTTCAGTAAAAGAAATAGGCAGCTACCTGGATCTCATTGTCCAGGAAGCCTAGCCTACTTGACAGGTTACAGGCTGGTGAATAGACTTGCTATAACAACAACAACGAAGTAGAACAATAGCTGTTGAATAATAGTCAAGGTTATCACAACTAACACACACACATACACACTCTATCACCACCAACAACATGTATAAGAGAGGAGAAAGGGATTTCAGATCTTGAAAAGCACATTATCTTAAGATAAATGAACCAGCCTTACTAGGAGAGCCTCCCAGCCAGGCCCTCCATTGAATTCTCAAGGGAGAAGACAGTGGCATGTCTCCACCTAGAGGTAGGTTCCATTCTGTACTATAATTCTGTCGTTTGTCTTACTGTCATCCTAGATTGTACATGCACACAGTCTACAGTCTACTAGACAACATAGAAACAATTCAGAAGTCTTAAAGGTAGAAAACAGAATTCACTGTAAAGGGAAAATGGGAATATTGTTTAAAAAAAAAGAATATGAATATAATGTACTTATTTGTCTTTTTGATCAGAGATTCAAGAGAGTCTAAGTCAAATTTTCTTGACCCCACCCCCAACCCCGTAGAGCTGAGAAGCAAACCCAGGATGTCTCACCACTAGCTAGAGCCATGCCACTAAACTACAAACCTCAGCCTTTTTCTTTTTCACTCAACACTCATATGGTAAAAAAAGCACTTGATTGCCAGATGACCCTTTTTATTCCATTTTACCAAGTTAAATTTTAGTCTGGGTGAAACTAGAATCATAACATCTATTGTTCCTGTGGGCCAAAGCTGTGCTGGGAATGGATGGGTGTTTTCTTCCTCGTGCCTCTAGCACTCTTCCTCATGTTCCTAAATGAAAATCAGTGGTTTAAACAGTGAGCACTGTTGTATAACTGAGCAGTGAAGTAAACTGCTCTCATCTTCCTTTGAACATTCACTTGGCTTATGTTTAAAGCAAAACACATAGAGGGGCCGTCTTCCCAGATTCTTAACTGAAAATAAAGCACATTTTGATGCGGTTCTTTGTCTGCACTCTGTGTAAGTAAAGGGCATCATCTGCATCTACACAAGAGTGACAGCTCTCACAGTGTTTCCGTTCCAAAGTCAGAGATGGTGTATTTTTTTCCCACTCCCCATTATGCCCTGTAGTCCTTACTGGAAATGAAAGAGTTAAGGAGAACAACTAAGAAGCCAACCAAGTTTGAAATGCTCAGAGAAAATGTTACGAATTTCATCGACAACCTGGTGAGGTGAGTCTAATGCTCTGATGAACTAACAGTAATCCTCTTCTTCCAAATGAGACCAGTAAACTCATTGCCCACAGCCAATCCTGGGTGTTTGTTTCATCTAATTAGACTTAGTGTTTTTCTTGATCTTCTGTCCCTGTTGTCTAATCAAATGACTTAGTTTATTTTTTACTGTCAGTTTAGGAAGGAAGAAAACAGAATTCACTGTAAAGGGAAAATGGGAATATTGTTTAAAAAAAAAAGAATATGAATATAATGTACTTATTTGTCTTTTTGATCAGAGATTCAAGAGAGTCTAAGTCAAATTTTCATCTAGTCAATTAAACTTCATCTAGTCAATTAGGCCATGTGAGGAAATACAGGACTTTTCAGAGTGTTTCCTCAATTTTGCATTGCTCTTACCATTTTTCTGCCTGTAGTAGGGTCTGGGTCAGCCCAGAAACAGATATTGTATGCTAGCCACGCTACTGTTTTGTTCTGAATATTTTATCATGACAACTAAATATCAGCACCAAGTCTATATTGCAGTATCTACTCAGCAACTATCAAAGTCTCCTGTCTACTTTGTTTATTAGTCTTTCTTTGGGAGCCTAGATCATTCTGGGTATTTCCCATAAGCTAGCTTTATGTGTGTTCATGAAATCAATCATCCAGGTGACTTTATGGAAACTAACAGATTTTAAAAACATTAAGTATACCAAAGAAAATGACTTACTTGGTTAGAAACAGTGCAGAATGTAGATGTCCATGCCTGTAACTCCAGCATTTGAGGGACTAGGGCAAGAAAAATCACTGGACATTCCAGGCTAACATGACCTTAAGTTTTACATCACTGAGACTACTGAGACCCTGCCTAAAAAGGAAGTAGGAAAAGTGTTTTTAAATGAAGGCAGTTCAAACTGGTCAGCCAATGAGGCCATGAATAGAAATGGTTCGGGAAGACAGAGTAGGTTTTTGTTGAATATCATGGTCGTGACCATCCAGAAAGTGAAAATTTACATTTCCCAGGACAATGTTGAGGAATGTTGAGGACAGAGTTATTATTAGTTATTGAAGAAAAAAATGTGGTGCTAAAAAAGAGGTAAAATGAGCAATAAAGCATAACAAAAAGAGGCCGGGCGGTGGTGATGCACGCCTTTAATCCCAGCACTTGGGAGGCAGAGGCAGATGGATTTCTGAGTTCGAGGCTAGCCTGGTCTACAGGGTGAGTTCCAGGACAGCCAGGGCTACACAGAGAAACCCTGTCTCGGAAAAAAAAAAAAAAGTGATTCATTCAAAATTGTACTGAAGGCCTGGTAAGGAGAGACACGTCCGTTCTGACAGCCACAGCATTTGCTGCTCAGCACTGTTCAGCCCTGGGAGCCTTTCCTGCTCCTTAGGCTTCCCTTTCATCAAGCTATAAACCTTGGCATCAGTTTAACATGTTTCCAAGCCCAGTACCAGGCCCATGAGTTCCAACAAATGCCAGTGGGCAGCCTTCTGACTTCTTGTCTATTATAATCTGGCTCTTTAACCTTTCATGAGCTGCTGAAATAATGCTTAGAGTGATTGACATTTGCTGTGAAACCACAAAAACTTTCCACAGTGAGATTTGGTGTTATTACCAAGATTGTGTCTCCCAGGAGGAAAGAGGTTAAGATTATAGTTTGTTAAAGGGAAAGGCAAAGAAAATAGAAATGAGGCAAAAGCCCAAAGAGAGAATGGGACTCCTGTCACAGGCCCCTATCTGTCACAACCCCTTTGCCTATTCTCCACAGGGCCTAGAATACAGATGTTTGACAGAGCTTCTAGGTCTGAACAGAATAAAAATAAATACAAACAAAATGCCAATTCAAAATCTATGCTGATATACAAGTGGAGAAAGACCAGCATCTGGAGGCAGAATTAATAGGCTCAGGAGGAGGAGGTAGTGAGAAATGATATTCATGCTGAGTGCCCTCTTTACTTCCTCTCTTTTCAAAGTCACTGAGCCAGCAGCAGGACAGAAGTGTATGGGGCTTTCTTAAGGAGTGGCATCCTCTCTAGGTGAAAAGCAAACTCAGAAGTAGCAGTAATGTTTTTGGTGGCTACACTGAGGCACTGCTTTGATGTATATAAAGGGTGTTAAGAATGCCTTACAGGTTGTGGTCTACCTAGTCCAACAAAGGCTGTCTCCTGACAGAAATAACCCAGTCCAGTGGTCATTCAGTCCACAATGCTGGCTGTCCAGCTTGTCTTCAGCACACGTCAGAGTCCTAAAGAGGTAAACTAATAACCAGTGAAGGAATCCCTCAGCAAAAGATGTATGAACTTGTCGGTGAGAATGAGGCAAAACCAAAGACAAACACTTTCTTCCCTGTCCTTTGCACAGGTTGCCATGAGAAGGTGTGGCCCAGATTTATGGTGGGTCTTCCCACCTCAAATGATCCTATTAAGAAAAATGCCTCACAGATGTGCTCAGCTGCCTGGGTAAAACATTACTTCCAGACATCACAAATACAGAGGAAGTTTTTAAAGTAGCATTGACATATAAAACTGGGTGAAACTATACAGGATCCATTACTTGGCTTTTGTTTGTTTACTGATTTAACTGTTTATTAAGTAGCAGAAAGATTGACAAAACTGGAATTGAAAACCAACCTGTACAAATCCAAAAGCTGGTACTCGATTTTACCATTTCAGAGACTATCTTCTGCCTCCTGAGAGCCAGCCTCTGCATGAGGTAGTGTACTTCAGTGCTGCCAACACACTCCGTGAGCACTTAAATGCTGCTCCAAGAATCGCTCTCCACACTGCACTCAACAACCCTTATTATTACCTAAAGGTAAGAAGGAAGCCTGACTCTCCCAGTTATGCTCAAGTCCTAGACATCAGCACCACGCTAACATTCTTCACTTGCCGTTCTGTTTTAATGAGCACAACTTTTAGCAGCTCTGGGGGCTGCCACTCAAATTTTTGTAAAAAAAAAAAAGCTTTTAGATTTTTAGATAAAACTTTCTGACTCAGTAATAATAGCAGTCAGTAATCAGCTGAGGCTATGTGCATTTGCCCTTATTTAAACTGCCTTTCATGTGATAAAATCAGTGGTATGGCATTTGCCACTGACCCTCATGACCTTAGTTTGGTATGACAACTGACTCCAAAAAGTTGTCTTCTGACCTATATGTTCAGGACCAAACACAGAAGAAAATTTTGAACAAATCCTAGGTAGAAAGCTTTAGAATATAGTGTCTTACTCTTGTAAAAAATGAATTTTTTTTCCCAGACACGATTTCTCTATGTATTTTTGGCTGTCCTGAAACTTTTCTCAAACTCAGAGAGATCCAGCTGCCTCTGCTCCCTGAGGTCTGGGTTTAAAGGCTTACACCAGCAGCACTGCCCAGCAGAAAAGGATTCTTATGTAGGTCAGTGGTCAGGCAGTAAGGCCTAATGAAAGTATATAAAATCCCAAGGGCGTATTTTTAATGGCAAAAAACACCCTGGGATTTCATGATGGATTTTTAACAGCAATCTATTCTGGGAGGATCTGCAGAGTACTACTGCAGAAACTCCTAAGGCAGCATACAAGGGAAGAAACAGTTGCTTAAAATCCAAAAAGTTACTAATTTCAGTTTCAAATGTTCAAAACTACCTTTGTTTTGATAGGTAAAATGGACACTGAATATTATTAAGTAAGTGGATAGGATTTTTTTTGTGCATGGATGAATGTGTGTGCTCAGGAAGTTGGAAGTTTTCCTTCCAGAAAAGATGCTTTATAAGGCACTTTTGGATAGATGTGGTAGCATGTTTGTAATTGCAGCTCTCTACAGAAGTTCGGGCAAGAAGATCACTGAGTTCAGGGCCAGTATGAACTTACTGAGACTTTGAAAAAAGTAAAGTAGGCTGTCAGCACAGCTCAGTAGATGAAGGGGCTACAGTGATCACCTAGTAAGTAGTTTAATAGCCTGAGCTTGATCCCCAGAATCCCTGTAAATGTGGAAGGAGAGAACTGATTCCAAAAAGTTGTCTTCTGACCTTGGCATGTGTCACACAGGACATGCATGCCTAGGCACACATCATACATATACATAGTGATTATATTTTTAGTTTAAAAAGTGGGCTACACAGAGAAACCCTGTCTCTAAAAACCAAAAAAAAAAAAAAAAGTGGCTCAAACTACTGCCTGTTCCTTGCAAACGGCACACAGATCTGAAGTCTGGGGAGAACACTGAATAGCAAGGTATAGACCAGTGGTTTTCAGTGATGATGGCAACCAGGAGCTTGACAGTTTCATATTTAAAGGCTAGTTATTTGTTTGGGTAGCTGCTCGTGTGCAGAAAGTACTTACAAGAAAGAGTCCAGAAGAAGGGTAAGATTCTCCTGGAGCTGAAATTAAAGGTGTTATGAGCTGCATAGAGTGGGGAGGGAGCCTGGAACCAAACTCTGGTCCTCTGTTACATACAGCTGCAGATGCTCTTAACCTCTGCGGTATCTCTCCAGCCTCAGTAGTTTCATAGTTAAATAACAGCAGTGTCTGGTTAGATAGCTCCGTCAGTAGGTAAAAACATTTGCCATTAAGCCTGACAAAGTTTAATCTCTGAGTCTCAAGCCATAGAGGGAAGGAGGCCTGCTTCATCCAACAGTCTCTAACACCCACATGTTCCACCCCTATGCACAACAAATCAATTGTTTTAAAAAAAATAACTACTGTTAAAGAGTTACAGAAACAAACTGACGTGGTCTTACATGCATTTTATGTATAAGATTTTGTTTCTTAATAAAACTTGATTTCAAGTAAGTTAAACCAATATTGACAGTTTCTGTAGGCTTGTGGTATTAGGGCTCAGTGACTGCCTCCAGCTCTTTGCTGGTACCCTCTCCTGGTCTGTGCAGATGACTGTACTTAAGGGGCAGCATCTGTTCACATGGACACACTCATGCACAGAAACAAAAATAAATCTGGAAAAAAAAATCAAAGCTCTGTAGTGTTGGTTAGGTTATGATAACTACGCCAGGCCATGTGGAGACCATTTACACATGAGAGAAAGTGCAGTGTTGAGAGCAGTATTTTCTTTGGGAGATGACATTTACTTTACTATTACTAATGAGAAGTGTTCGTTAATGCCACATAATAACTGTTAGAATTGTGTTTATAACAAATGTTGGAAGTACTATTTTATTCAGTAATCATTCCAGAAAATTTTAAACTTTCACAGCAAACTGAAATGTATTATGAGAGTCCTGAGAGTCTCCACAAATAATAATTTGCAAATAAGATTTAAAAAAAAAATGTTGTCAGGCTGTAGTGGCACACGCCTTTAATCCCAGCACTTGGGAGGCTGAGGCAGGCGGATTTCTGAGTTCGAGGCCAGCCTGGTCTACAGAGTGAGTTCCAGGACAGCCCGGGCTATACAGAGAAACCCTGTCTCCAAAAAAACCAAAACAAAAAACAAAAAGTCTTATGGAGAGAGTGGCTGAGAGCTAGAAGGATTATAGCCGAGACTTGAAGTATTAAGGAAGGAAATGACAAGATTCTACTTTCTGATTTACTAAATGTAGTTCAACTAATATCTTTGTTTTTAATAATTTCTAATAGTTTTTAATCTGTTTTTAGAATGAAGCACTGAAAAGTGAGGAAGGCTGCATTCCAAATATTGCCCCTGACATCTGCATAGCATATAAACTGCACCTGGAGTGTAGCCGGCTGATTAACCTTGTTGACTGGTCAGAGGTAGGTCACAAAGAACAAGTTAGGTGTTTAACCAGCTTTCCTAGAGTTTTGCCCTTTTTATTTTGTTTAATTGTTTTGAATTCAGCTTTTATTCTTAAATTTGTTTATAAAGCATAAATGTTATGCTGCAGAAGTTCTTAAGGAAGCAGTCTTAGCAGTCTGTACTCAATAGGCTCCTGTGTTCCAATTCCGTGCTTTTTAAAAGCAAAAGCCAAACAAAGGATTCAGATCAGCTCAGTACACTCCACAGAAATTCTACTCTAGCAAGGCAGGGGACTGTCAAAAGTCCTGTTTGACATATCAACATTAAAGGACATGCATTCTCTTGTAGAACCTTCTATTCTATTCCATTGATCCTTCTACCTATCTCTGTTTCAGTACCATGCAGTTTTTATCACTATTGCTTTGTAGTACAGCTTGAAGTCAGGGATGGTGATTCTCCCAGAAGTTCTTTTATTGCTGAGAATAGTTTTCGCTATCCTGGTTTTTTTTATTATTCCAAATGAATTTTAAGATTGCTCTTTCTATCTCTGTGAAGAATTGTGTGGTAATTTTGATGGGGGTTGCATTAAATCTGTAGATGGCTTTTGGCAAGATAGCCATTTTTACTATATTAATCCTTACAATCCATGAGCATGGGAGGTCTTTCCATCTTCTGAGATCTGTTTCGATTTCTTTCTTCATGGGCTTGAAGTTCTTGTCATACAGGTCTTTTACTTGCTTTGTTAGGTTCACACCAAGGTATTTTATATTGTCTGTGACTATTGTAAAGGGTGTCATTTCCATAATTTCTTTCTCAGCCAGTTTATCTTCTGAGTAGAGGAAGGCTACTGATTTGCTTGGGTTAATTTTATAAGCAGCCACTTTGCTAAAGTTGTTTATCAGGTTTAGGAGTTCTCTAATGGAAGTTTTGGGGTCACTTAAGTATACTATCATATCATCTGCAAATAGATTTTGACTTCTTCCTTTCCAATTTGTATCCCTTTGACCTCATTGTGTTGCCTAATTGCTCTCTCTGGCTAGGACTTCCAGTACTATATTGAATAGGTAGGGGGAAAGTGGGCAGCCTTGCCTAGTCCCTGATTTTAGTGGGATTGCTTAAAGTTTCTCTCCATCATGTTGGCTACTGATTTGCTGTATATTGCTTTTACTATGTTTAGGTATGGACCTTGAATTCCTGATCTTTCCAAGACTTTTATCATAAAGGGGTGTTGAATTTTGTCAAATGCTTTCTCAGCATCTAGTGAGATGATCATATGGTTTTTTTCTTTGAGTTTGTTTCTATAGTGGATTACATTGATGGATTTCTGAATATTGAACCATCCCTGCATTCCTGGGATAAAGCCTACTTGATCATGATGGATGATTGTTTTGATGTGTTCTTGGATTCGGTTC